AAGTAATTGGGTACACACAATTAAAAGTGAACCAAACTGCACCTGAGTCAGAAGACATCATGAAAATATAAAGACCATGTGGTGGAAGATACTAACCATAAAGCTAATGCTGGCAAAAAGTCAGTGCTCCGTTAAGACCAAACACAGACACAAACATAGACACAGCCCTCTGATAAGTATCCTCAGACTGTAGATGGACTTCTAGGCCTTTTAAATCAGTTCTCCTGGGCACACCTTATTGGTCCTCCAAAGCTCACCCTTTCTGACTCATTCAGGCTCTATGCTGAGTTTTCCCTCATCTAAACCTAACTGATCTGGCACTAACCATGACTTTTCGTTGGTAATTTCTACAGCACCAAGTCTGGCACTAACCATGACTTTTCGTTGGTAATTTCTACAGCACCAAGTCATCAACCATTTCAACCAGTGTATTTTATTCAAGAAGGAACTGTATCTCAAAGATGTTTTAGTTGGCACTATTTGGTAGCAAGTAACAGCCTCTCAAACTTAAGAAAAACCTGAAGATAGAAGTGGGGGAGTCTCTGGAAGGTTTTGAGGGTATCTCATGGAACCCAGGAACAGGAAATGCACAGGCACAAAACACTGGAACAAAAACCAAAGTTATCAGGAATCAAGGCAGCCGTTCTCTTCATCTTTTTCTTCTGGGATTGTATGGTCTCTCATCTTTGATTTATTCTCTTTCTGCTTCACACGCAGGTTCCAAATGCAACTTCCCAAGACATCAGTTTTCCGACTCCGAACTCCTGGGAGAAATCATCTAATTGGCTCAAATTTGACCAGATGTCCACTCCTTGTCCAATGACCTAAACAGCTCGCCCCTGAAGGTGGCAGGAAGTAATATTCAGAAAATGGGACATAAGTTGGGCAGATATCCTAAAAAGTATCTACCCTAACATTTCCTGTTATTTCACTGTTGCCTATTAATTGGAGGCTTAGACATTTTTTGGAGAAATAAGCTGCATTTCTTTGATGACCTCTTCCAATTTTAAGGTTGGGACCACTAAACTGCAAATGTTACCTTTCAATCAAAATGAACCTAAAGATTCTTTGGCTTGTTCCTAAAAATGTTAAACTAGAATTCTCTATCAGGGTGTAATTTCTGTTTCCTTCTTTTCTTCTTATTCCATCCTTTCTGATGAGGCAGTCACTTCAGACACATTGTCCACTATCAATTTAGATTCTATTCCTCTCTTTTCAGATTTCTGCTTTGAAAACTCCCCCTCATTCTGAAGGTGAAAATCAATGCATGAACCGTATTTAAACAATGGACACCCCAAAACACTGGTCCCTTCACTACGGAAAAGTGAAATCTCCAGTTAATAAACGTGTAGGGGACAGGGGATGATACCGTTTATTGAGTCCCTACTGTAAGCCAGGAACTATGCTAAATGCTTACATTTTAATCCTCGCAACAATCCTATGAGGGATACTATTGTTAGTTATCCCCTTTTTATGGATGATGAAAATGAGGTTTTAAGAAGATAAGAAACCTACCCAATATCACACCATATAGTATGTAGCTTAATATGGATTTAGGAGAGAAGCAAGGCTGTTAAAAAGCTGGGGGGTGGGGAGAGGAAGGCTAAAGGCAATAGACTCCTTTTTCAGCACATCACATATCTTAAAATATATAATTTAAAAAACCGATATAAATCATGTTACATGACAGCAAATCATGCAGCTTTTTCTAAATTTCAACTCCAACTTTGATATGCATTTTCAAAGGAAATAATAGTTATCTCTGAGTAGCTCAGAGGTTATTTAAATTCCTTCATACTCTTATTTTCTTAATATTTATCAATGTATCACTTATATAATCAGAAATTTTTCCAACAATTTTCTTAATCCTGACTGAGCCACACATCTGCCCATCTTTCTTCTCTTCACGACTTAATTTAGAATATCTTATGCTTCCTGTCTCCATAGCCTCTTTTCCTGTGTCCTCAGTTTTTGACCCATCGACTGCTAACAAAGATCAGTTGGCAACTCCTTATTGCCAAAATCTTTTCTGTTTTCATCTAACTTGACCTCTCTACTGCATTTGATGTTCATCACCATCTTGACACTCAGTTTCTATGTCAGTCTCCTTGAGGACTCCTCTTTCTCCACCAGTTCCTTTAACGTGGCTATTTTCCAAGGTTCAGGCCTTTGCTCAAATGAATCCCCATGTAGTGTTTGAACAGTTTTAACATTAGACAACAATGAAGACCTATGATCCCAAAAAGATTAGGAACAACTGGTAAAGATTAAAATCTGATCCCCTTCTCAATTTGACAGCCCCTCCTCCAAAGCGTCCCCACTCCATCTCTCACAATTTCCCCTATCATCCATAGCAAAATCGCACTGTTCCTTTGCTAGAGCCATCTCCTCTGCCTGAATTTCCCAACTTCTCCATGCAGAATTCTCCCTCTTTTAAGTTTCTAGAGCGCTTTTTATCTGCCACTAGCATGTATTTACCACAATATATTTGATTATACACAAATCTGCCTGAACAAGACAAGGGGCCAAGTCAGTATTATCTTTGTGTCTCCAACACTAAATAAAAAACATGATTTCACTAAAGTATCAAATCTTGTTCCCAAGATATTGACCAATTTTGTTCTGTGCTGATTATCAGACTACAAAAGACTTACTGCTCAGTCATGGCAAGAAGTTTTAAAAATACTGTTTAGTAAAACAAATTGTTCTCTTACACTGAAAACAATTCTTTTCTACTTAACATAATTAAAACTGAAAACCAAATCGTCTACTAGGGGAGCATGACCAACAATATTTTAAAACCAAATATTATTAATAACCCCACATTTCAAACAATATTGAATACAATAAAAATTTTAGTAGAACAAAAACTCTGGAATCATGAGTAAGTCAGTAATAGGATCCTTACTACAATTAAGATACTAAAGGGATGCTTGCTCTATTTAGAGTGATTCTAACCCAGGAGTGTTTATCAGAGCCACTTGAGGAGCTGTTAGAAATACATACAGTTGACCCCTGAAAAACAAGGGGGTTAATCCACATATATGGCCCTCACTATGCCTGATTCATCCACATCTGTTAACTCAACCAACCAGACTGTACAGCACTGCAGTATTTACTCCTGAAAAACAGCCGCGTTTAAGCAGACACCCCACAGTTCAAACCCACCGGCACTCACGGGTCACGTGTGTATATTCTCCATCTCCAGAAATGTAGATTTAGGTCAAGAACGAAGCTAGGCCTGTGGACATTTTTAAATGGTCCCAGCGTTTTCTGATGAACAATACTGGCTAAGAACTATTTTCTATGAAATATGTTTGACATGCTTTCAAATTACATGTACATGTATTTTTACTATTTAAGCGTTTTCACTATTCGAAAATAACTTAAGCATCTTCATTATTTTGCCCAAAGTTACTTACAGGGCACCCGACCTTTTGCAATAGGTGTATGTCTTTAAGACTTTATTAAAGTAATTTAATAATTACTTTTAATTTAATAAAGTAATTTAATTACTTTTCAAAGGCATTAAGTCTCAACAGAAAATAAAATTTTCTTAAGTGTTTATTTTCTTTAAATTGAGGTATAGAGTATAGACACCTAGTCCACTAGATGAGTATGTTCTGATAAACAAGAATTATCTGTATGTAAATATACTGAATATGCACTAACTCTAGCCTTTACAAAAATAAAGCAATTGCCAAAAACACCTTATTGAAGAATATACTTACACTAAGAAATATTATACCCATACACAATACTAATAGATTTTATAACTAGAAAAAAATGACTTCAGGGTAATTCTTCAAATATTAAGTTTCCAGAGTATATTCAACATTTTTTCAATAAAAATCAAGAAGTATTTAAAATCACCTTGGTTGAGGTTGAACAATAACTTTCATTTCTTTGTTAGGTAAAGATCCAAAATTCACAGGTATATTCCAGGTGGGCACTCAAAAAACTCTAAAAACTTATTTAAATAATATTTAAGACTACTTACTATCTTCATTGCATTCATGTTCTAAGAACTGATAAAATTTGCTTGGAAACTCATGGATCAAAAACTCTCTATAAGCTTACTATAAATTTTCAATATTAAAAACAGCTCTACTATCGCACTCTAAAAAGTTTTTTAATTTCCTTACTTAATAGGTGTTTCTGCTCAAGTGAGCCACCTCCTCACATAATCCTCTTCACACAACCTAATTTTTTAAATTCTAGAAATTATTTACAGGAGTTTGAAGATTCAAATTCTAACCATGTAACTTCAAAATAAATGTACATTAATTTCTATGATTCCAAGTAATACTTCCTATTTCACGTCACAAGCTTAAGTCTCACATGAGAAAAACTTTGTGTTTTTATGTGTATCTAGTATTGTCCTATGCGTTCAAAGATATTACTGACAGTATCAGATTGGGCCTGGAAAACAGACAATGGAAATCTTTAACCCCACTGTATACACGTAGAAAGTAATTGGATTTTTTATTTTAAAATATCTAAAATAGTCGTATTAATATCCTGTTAATTTTTCCTTCCCTCTTACCCTGCCTTTATGATTAGACATATATAAATTCAAAAACATAACCCTTTCAAATAACTCTTGCCATGGTTACCAAAGCTTGTCTTATGTTATCATTTTCAAGAATCTTCAAGTAAACTCAAGTTTTTGATAAATCAATATCCTGCACTGCTTTAACAGGGGAAACAAACAAAGGAAAAATAAGGTTTGCAAAATGGACTGATAACATTCTAATGAATCAATGTGGGCTAAAAGATTTTTTTCAAAAGTTCTATTTAATAAGTTCATTTTTAGGCAAAAAAAATAGTAATCTGCTAGAGCCTCTACTCTTCCCTTTTTAAGTAAATATACCTGTTTACAATAATCTCAGCATTTGAAATCAAGAATCTGCATATAAAATGCTAAGAAAAATAAACCACACTGATTTTCTTACCCCATACCACTGCAATTATTTTAAATGCATAGGAATACAACAAACTCAAAAGAAAAAAAAAATAGTGTTTTATTAACTACCACACTGTTATAATACACTTTAAACGTACAATAAGGTAGCCTTTAAATTTGAGGTGGTCTTAAGAATAACAAATGAACAGAATCCCAAATTTTTGAAATAAGTGAACTGCTGCAGTTATAGGTATACATTTTGGAAAATTGTATAGCTCTTACAAGACCAGCAATGAAACTTTATTTTGTACATTTTTTAATAATTGAAAATATAAACAATAATTAAAAAATAAAAAGAAAATACAGCATAATAAAAAACATACATTTCTCAATTAAATGTACTGGATACATATAAATTTTAAGGGAAAAAGCAAAAAAGGAAAATGGTTGATATTTAAGTGCAGACTGACTACCTAGACCAAAAACAAAACAAACAAAAAAAAAAGACTTAAAAAAATATCATAAAACCTCTAGTTCTCTATGACTAATATCCATATGGTTGGAGTATCGTCACTATGGAAGTGATTTTGTTATGTTTGCATATGTTTTACTTTACTGGTAATTTACATGATGGCTTTTAAGGCCCTGGCAGACATGTGGTTTTTGGAAACAAGATTGGATTCAAAAAAAAAAAAATAAAAAATCACTGCTAAGACGCAATAACACCTTATTTTTTTGGTCCTCCAATACTCAAGAAAAGGGATAATTCACTATAACATTTTCTTACCACCCAAATGCCTCAACCTATACATTTTAAACTTTTTTAAACATTGGTTATATTGCCCAACTTCGTTATTGAAAGAATATTAACAAGACATTATTTTGGCAAATTAAATCTTAAACATGGCTTTTCAACAGGATTTAAAAGGTGACTATCCCTAGAGTTCCATGTTAAAATGTAGTTTTCAAAATCTTACAAGAGTAATGCTTAAAATATTGTACATAGTTAACCTAATTAAAATAATTAGCTTCAAAATGACAAATTGATAAGCTAAGTAAAGCCTACACTATGTAACATTTGCTTGGAAACTTGATTTGTCAGTTATGCATAATAAAAATTCCAGTCATCAAGAAAATTACAAAAATTTTTTTTATCATAACATGATTTCTTTCACCCACCAACTTTTTTTTTTTTATCTTACAATAGATAAATACCAACATGTTCTCATTTTTACACTAAACCACACAGGATTGATGCATTTGGTTAAGACTACCATTCGCATTGTTAAATTCAATTTTCTCTTTATATAACTTGGTAAAATTTCATTTCTTCTAGATTCCAAAAGTACCTACAAAACCCATGCAATTTTACCATTTTTAATATACTATGGAATATCATACAAAGTAAGGCATTTCAGTGTCATGTATAACCAAGTTACTGTCAATCCAAAAATTTTTGCACATCAATAAAAAGATATCTAAGAACTTAGGAACAATGTTCTTCTCACTACTGTATAAAAATAACCACGATGAATAAGTATTTGTGTAATATTTACTCCATTGTCTCATTTCCAGAAACTGTGACAAGCTGTAAAGGTATTTCAGTGTTGGTCAGGATATCTTGATTGCTGGTGGTGGAAGTATTAACAGTTCCTATCCCTGAAACAGAACCTTGTTGAATATTTGCAAGGATAAGTGTTGTTCCTCCTGCAGTAATCAAAGTATCATCTCGTGCAGCTTCCACAGATGCCAGCACTGTACTGCTAGGGTGAATACCTTTTTTATTTTGATGTGTTTTAATATGTTTGGCAAGGTGATCACTTCTCATAAAGCGTTTTGAACATTCTGGACAAACAAATTTCTTCTCACCTGTTGAAGAAATTAAGTTACTTAGTCTTTTAAATTTAACATTATATTTCTCATTCCCTGAGAAAGAAAATAAGCCAACACTGACAGTTAGGGACAGGGAGCAGAGTTCAATTAGAACTATATTAGTTTCATGAGCTGTCCCTGCAAAATTTCTCTCATAGAATACTTTTCCTCAAAATAAATCTGTCACCTTTATTTCTGGATGAAAAGCAATCTTCAAACTTATTATACACTGATATTCAGGTAAGAATTTAATACCTCAACTATGCTAACAGTTTTGAAACATCTGTTACAAAATACCAGCTTAAAAACGACTATCTGTAGCATACTTCTCTAAAGAAAAATACACTGTTTTAAGCTATATTTAAGGTATTATTAACATGTGAGATCCCTGATACTCAACCTTCAACTCTTAAATGCGAATTTAAGTAACTACAGAGTACTTCTAGATTAAAGCCAAGACACAAGCTTGAAGTCTAATAAAGACTGAGTAGTCCCAAGAATAATGGAGATGGCCAGATGACCTGATTTCAGCTGGAATAATCAAGAGCAAGCCTAATAAATCATGATGTTAAAAGTTAATAAGACTCTATGATGCCTAAATTTATTTCCCAGCATAAATACTTTTTTTAAATACAAAAGACAGACAGAACTTCTATTATGTTGAAGACCTACTATGTAAGACAATTAGTAGAAGGCAAAAGGCCGACCTACAAGGAATCTAAGGAGAACTCAATCAATAAACAAATCCAGTATTTTCTTAATTTATTTTCTTCAAAATGTCTTTCTTACATATCTCTTGTTCCAGCACCTCTCCTCTCAGTAGGTCCTCATCAGACCTCATGCCTGAACTATATTACAATGGCACACTAGTCTCTCCCTTTCCAATCCAACAAATCAATGCCAGACAAATCTTCCTTAAATATCAAATTTTATTAGAGTACAAAACTTCACCACTGTACTAAGTGGTATGGGAATGCAAGAGTAACCTGCAGATAACTGAACAGTTCAGACTCTCCATTACCTAACTCCAGTAACGTGGTTCAATCCTACGTAACAGAAATGTGTTAAATAAAATCTCATCTTCACTCGTGACAAATGATCTCTCACTTCTTCTATTCATATACTATTCTATTCTTCTGGGAAGGTATTTCCCAAAGCTTCTCTTGGAACATTAGTCCTGAGACATACTCCATGGCAAAATGGCACAATGAGAGGTTGCCACTACCTCCCGCGACTTGGGAGATGTACAGTGCTCATTAACATTCTATTAAAGGTCCTAAGAGGCATTCTTTGAAAGTACTTGTATAGTAACCCTCTTTAACACAGTGTTTCCTACACTTATTTGATCATAGACCTTTTTTCCCTTTTACATTATTTCTTTTTATATCCTGCTGATCAAATTCCACTGAGGAAAATTCTATTATAGGGCCATGCTCAAAAATGCCTTACTATCCCAACAATAATGATCTCTGCCTCCAAGCACACTTTATCTACTTTCTTATATTGTCCGTTGCAGTTTCAAACAGGTTAAGCTCATCTGTCTACCTACCTGATGAGACAGAAATTAAAACGAGTAGAGTATGTAACATAATACTACATACTTCATGGGTTATTTTATATATTTAGATCTAAGAGACTTCAAAATCCATATCGTCCACCGTTTCACCATAGTTCTTTCTTCTATGCTCTCTAAACTTTGTAAATGCATTATATATTTTTCAATTCTTCAGTATCGAGCATAGACTGATGAACACCTTGATCATTACATGGCAGTAGATAGAAGAAAAATATGTTATATTAAGTTAGAATTCAATTTGGGTCATTCCTAGGTCCATTTCATGTAACAACCACACAACACTATGTGTTAAAACAATTAAATGAAAGAGTCTTCACATCAACAATGCCTTGGTTATTCCTCAGTGAAATATCTTTTGCTTACCTCACACATATTAAAACGAGAAAGGGTGAAATGCCTGAATTTATCAAAGGAAAAGGAATTATTATTTATTACAGTGTTAAGGAGGAAGAAGAAGATAAGGATCAAGAGTAAAAGCACACAACTAATTTAAAACTTTAACATAATTAACAATGATGAGATAAATGTGGCTTAAGACACTGAATAATATGAAAACAAAAGCTAACCAAAGTCTGCATAAAATAAAACATTATTTTATAAAATAAGCCATACTGACTTGCTTGGAATTAGTGTTTTTAAATTGGTGTTACTGAAGACAGAAATATGATGTAATTGGTCGTATTTTAAAAGATTCAGTTCAGTAAGGTATGCTTAAAAAAAAATTTCAAGGTAGTATGTAGCCTTACAGTTAACTTTTATCTGTTAAAAGTAAATATTAGTAACCTGTATGTGTTCTTCTGTGCCTCTGTAATTCATCACTTCGAGTAAATCTTTTACCACAGAACATCCAGTTACAAATAAAAGGGCGCTCCCCAGAATGCCAACGCAGATGAGCTCTCAGATGTGAGGTCTTCCCATAGACTTTACCACATCCTGGTATATGACAAATGTGTTGCTTCTTTTTCCCAAGATTGGTACCTCTAAAAAACACACACAGAATAATATATACTTATATGAAAATATTCAAATGGACATTATCACTCATATCATACTCCCCATGTTGAATTTCAAATAGAAGACATTATCACTGTGAGGTCAATCAGAAACCAAGACCATTTAAAATCAATTTAAAGAAAAATTAATAAGTTTTACATATTCATTTTACTCCACAACTAATGTGAGTGTTGTCCAAATGTAAATATGCTCAAGAAATATATAATTTAAAAGAACATTTCATACATAAAGAGTATAGTAAAGTTATTTATTATTCGGTCAGAACCATTCCCAAATTCTATGCATAAGCCCAATCCGATTAAATTAGTTGTACCAGAAACTAAATGGCCTATTCAAAGTCATGATGTTAGCTAATTTAAAAAGTAAATAAACCAACAATAAATGCATAACTAATCATAGGTACAATTAAGGCACCTTAAGAAGACTTTAAATTAAGATGATATAAGCATTATTTATTCACATATTTGTATGGCCACACCCTGAATATACACTGACTTGGAGAAAATCAGAGAAAAAAATCTAGACAAAGCTATTGTCTTAGATCCCTAGAACTACATGAAATAAATTAAAATTATCTTTACAGTTAAAATTCCCTATTAACCATGCAAAGATACCCAAAATTATAAATCAGAGAAATAATAAAATGCAGTTTCTCCACAGTGCAAAATTTGACATGTTACATTTCAGTATTTGATACCAAGAACAGGGTTTAGAAGATATGTGCTTATTAGATGGGTGAACACAGGTATCTTAGCCTAAGCAAGAAGAAAACGTTTTTCATTCCAGAACTGATATTCAAATCATATTAAACACTATAGAAAATGTTATTACTCAACCTCAAATAAAAAAGAAAAAGGCTAGTTACTGAATAAAAACAAATGAGTTTATAAAAAAATGACATTTTAGACTCATCAACTGTCAAAATCATATTATATAAACTTTGCAGTTTCTCTGAGATTACAAAAAGGTACATTTAAGACCCCCCCAACTTCCCCTCCTCCCACAATCTCACAGTCTAGGTATAGCCTGTAAGCCTTCCATAAGCCTGCAAATCCTCCTGTATATAATATACCTATCGTTTTTCAAATTTTACTGGAAAAACGCATATTTCCCCACATTTATATTTTAATGTACTCACACTCAGTAGCATGTGAAATTGCCATAGGACAAACAGTGCTAAACGGTGCAGTGCTGGCTGTTAGATGCCATAGGTGTTCTGAACAGGGAGACATCAATGTGGGCTCCAGTAGTGAGAGAAGGCTTCGTGGAGGAGGTGGGTAGGATTTAGATAGAAAGGAGGGAAGGCATTCCAGGCAGAGGAATAGCATAAGTAAAGACAAGGAGGAGTCATGCTGTTGTCTCAAGGGCAAGGATGTCATAATCTAACACAATTCTAGTTTCTGCTCCAGTCCACCCCCAATTTCTACAACTCTCTTCAAAGAGCTGAGTTGAGTGAAACAGGTTTTGCTGGCTCACCTGCAATGCCAAAGTCTTAACCAAAGCCAATAATATTTCCATTTAATTTAGCTTTTAAAATTTGTTTTATTCTTAAATGGCCCTAAGAAAAAGAGCAATGTCTGTGGCTATTGGTGTACAAACCGATTTTACATATTGTGTTCACCATAGCAATTTCACGGAGAACCCAATTCAGTTCACTCTACACTCATAACTTCTTGCCTCTCTTCTAATCCTACCACTCAGGTGAATCAATGTGCTTTTATAAATTCAAAAGTGCTATTTTACTAACTTAGCAAAATTTAGCTTTGAGAGCACGAACAAAGCACAAGACTATAACAAATTACAGCAACAAATATGAGTTCCCAAAGAACCAAAAATCCAGGGAAAGATGTTTTCATCAACTGAATTATAAGGTAACAAGACATACTCGTTGTCTGAAAATGGGACAGGCAACTAAGAAAAAAAAATGGAGACGGGGCACACGAAAATATACAATATAAGGGAAAAAGTCCAATACCGAGGTCCAAGTTTTTATCTAAAAAAAATTTTTTTACTCAAGATAACATCTAGATATGCCAGATATGGATTTATGGCATGTGATGTGAAGGAAGGGGACTGAAGTGAATTTATCAACAAACTTCAAGTAGTAAAAGATTACCGTGAGTTTTCCCCTTGATTTATATAGTTACACCACTAATACCTACTACATGATCTTACAAAACTAACAATTTTAAGTTCATTTTCTTGACTGCTTAAACTTGCTCCCAAAATTTTAATAATGCAAAGACAGAGTGACACAATAAATAAAGCTAAATTCTGAGTAGATGGATTAAGAAAAGTTAAGTAAATCGAGTCTTTTGCTTGGGACAGGAGAAACGGAACACAAACTGAAAGGCTAACAGGGAAGAAAACAGATTTTACAAATTAACTTAAATTTTTAAAAACTGGATTGAGGTTGTCTAAACCACACAAAACCTATATAACAATAACGCCTTTAGAATTTATTTTACTTTATAAAATTGTCTCTTCCACTAGAGTATAAAGTTTCTGAAGTCTGGTACTGCTTAATAAATATTGGCTAAATGCCCAAATGAATACAGTTTTAAAATATTTAATTATATTTTACACCTTGCTCAAAAAGGTAAAAAAATAAAATTTAGTTCTCTAAAGATGCCACTTTATACGTACTATTATTTTTTTAAAAGAATACTGTTGCGGAAAGGCTAATATTCTAAAATGTATAAAGTGCCACCTACCTCACCTTTGCAGAACAGGATTTACTATATGTTATGCTTCTACTAATGAGATGCAGCAACTGTCAATGATACAATTGTGCCTATCATGAGTATATTAGTTGAATTTTGTTCAAATGAGCTCTAAGAAACAACAGTTGTTTTTCTTAAGAACTTCAATTTTAATTGTTAGAATAAGTTATTAAAAAATGAACTCACAAAAGTTCTGGAAAAATATGAGTATTTTTATAATCCTCAGTTTAAGGAAGACTTTTAATAGCATGATAGTAATGCATCTCAACTAAAAATTTTGTACTTAAAAAAAGGTTTGCAAGCTTTAAGTGAGAACTTTCTTTACTCGTGTAAATAAATGCATTTTGCAAACTACTGACAAAGTTGAAAGACAATGTAAAATTGGAAAAATATGTGCACATATGACAGACAAATTAACAGATTCACAAAAGACAAAGAAATAATTCACGAAAGAAATTTTGACATGGTAAAATAACACAACAAAAAATGTTCAAATAAAGTAACAAAAATATACTGAATAAAACAATAGTGAGGAATTACTTTTCATCTCTCAGACTTTAAAAGGTTTTTAAAAATTATAAAATCCATTGTTGGCAAGGGTGTGGGAAAACATACTCTCATACACCACTGATGGGAGTATAAATTGATACAACCTTTCTAGCAGACAATTCCCTTTGATAAAACAATTCCACCACTGCCAACTTATAATGATGAAATAATCAGATGTGCAAAGATATATGTGTAAGAATTAGAATTTCAACAATAAACTCCCAAAAGTTGTTAAATTCTTACACATCCATACCATAGAATACTATACAGTCATAAAAAACTGATACAAACTCTATGTACACTTGGAAATATGATCACAAAAATTTTCAAAAGAAAAACAGACACATAAAACAGTGAGAGTAAAGTCTGGAAGGATATATACAAAAATGTTACAATAGTCATCTTGAAGTAGGGTAGAAGTTTCGTATTCTTTTAAAACTCCTCTATATTTCTGAATTTTTATGAGCATGTATTAATTTAATAAAAATAATTTTAAAAGATTTTCAATTTAAAGAAAAGAACAAGCAAAACACAGGCAAGGCCTTGACCCTCAGTTAGATTTGACTTTCATGAAAATTTATCTTGAAAGTTCCCGTAAAAATGAGAGTAAATTTCAGAAAAGTTGTCTAACCAGAATTCCACACTAACTTATTTAAATTGACCAAAACATTTCAAAGAATAAGTAAAACTTCAAACAAGTGAATAAATTACCAGTAGGAAATACAAATGCCTAAGGATCAGATGGAGAAGAAGCAAATTCACCTGGGAGGCAGTACAGTGCAGTGGTTAAGGCCTTGATAAGAAACTGGGTCCAAATCCCAGCTGTGTATGCTGTAAAGAATCATTCAACTTCTCCATGCCTCACTTACAAGACCATCTAGAACACAGTAAGCTCTCAGTATTAACAGTTACTAGTCATTACTATCATTGTGAATGGGCTGGCCAATGTACAAATCAACTCAAAAGGCAGAGAGGCTCTACTAGGTCAAGTTCATTAACTGCATTAACAGGGTTTTTTTTTTTTTTTTTTTCTGGTCTATTTAAATAGTTCATTTCTGAGAGAGTTATATTAAGGTCTTTCACTATGACTAGAGGATACGGTTATAATGTCTTTAGAGTTCTATCAGTTTTTGCTCTATGTATTTCAAAGTTGTGGGGGAAAGGTTCCATGGCTATTAAATGTTCTTGGTGAAAACTTCATATTATTAAGAAATATATCCCTGGGCTTCCCTGGTGGCGCAGTGGTTGAGAGTCCACCTGCCGATGCAGGGGACACGGGTTCGTGCCCCGGTCTGGGAAGATCCCACATGCCGCGGAGCGGCTGGGCCCGTGAGCCATGGCTGCTGAGCCTGCGCGTCCGGAGCCTGTGCTCCGCAATGGGAGAGGCCAACATAACGCGCACAAAAAAAAAAAAAAAAAAAAAAAAGAAATATATCCCTATCTATCCATTTGATATTTTCACCTTAATCTTACCATGTCCAAGTTTCCTTTTTGTTAACATTTGCCTAATAAGTCTTTTCCATTCCTTTATTTTCAACATTCCTGCACCAATTTGAGATGTTCCTTATAATCAATATAAGGCTGGGCTTTATGTCTTTTAAATATGACCTGAGAGTCAATCTCTCAATTATTAAGCTTAATCCATCCACATTTAATATAATTACTGATCTGTTTTGAGTTTATTCCTGTCATGTTATTATTTCTTAATGTTTATTTCTGAAAACACTGAATGGAAATATTACAGTTCCACTTTTTTAAAAATTCCATCATTAAGGCTTATTATTCATTTCTACTAAAAATGGAAAATACTTATGCTTTATTAACAATTTCTGAACTTATTTTATATTATATAACTGCTATTCTCAAGCTAAGAATCAACTTTTTTTAAAGATTTATTTTTATTGGAGTATAGTTGCTTTACAATGTTGTGTTAGTTTCTACTGTACAGAAGAATCAGTTTTTTAAGCAGTATTTAGGCAAATCCATTGCTGGTTTGCAAACAGACTAATATCCAATATGGGCCTGTTAAATGGCATCTTACTATACTTTTTTTTTTTAAGTAAACTAAGTAATTTTAGTTTTTTTAAAACAGGCATTTAGAACTGAAAATTTGATTTCATATATTTTGTTCTCTAACTTTTTCTGCCACACTCATACAGACAAACACACAAGATGATCATGTAATGAATAATTTCCCTTAGTTAAGTGACATGGCATGCAGCATTTCAAAAATTAGGGTGATGATATTAACAGTCTAAAAAGAAAAGTATGTTTCGTGTGTGCATACCTCCCACCACCTTCTTTACAGTTGGGACAGGTGCAAGCTACCCTTCGAAGTCTTTTTCCTTCTTGATGTTGTTGGTCCCCTTCTTCATCTACCACCTGTACTCTTAAATGTGTTAGATCATTGGTATTCAATGTAGAATCACCACTGAGCTGCCACTCTTCAGGATCAGGTTCTTCTTCCTTGATCCTAATATCTAAAGAAGAAAACAAATACAGATGAGAAGCAGCCCACTGGCCCAAAAAGATAGCATGAGATCTGAGCCTCTCTAAGGTAGAATGAATAAATACTATGTAAAAGTAAAAAATCATCTGTTTGTGGAGCATAATCATTGCTCCTTGTTGTGGATTATTCTTTTAAAACAATCTATTTTATTCTAAATATCAGAGATTAAGCCAAAAAGAGAATAAAGCCACCATGAGAGCTTGCTTTTAAAAATTCATTAAGACAGCCAATTTCTTTTGAGCAAGCTGAGTCATAAAACAATCTGAAACTTCAGTTATAATTGTTCAAATAGTCACTAAAATCAATGGTCAACTCAGAATAGAACAAATTCTAATGCCTGTTAAACCTCTTTTTTACAGCCTGTATCAATTATGCATATTTGTAGATACTATGGGAATGCAAAATGTAGGTCCTATGGGAATGAAATTATGCCTATTTGTAGGTACAATGAAATTATTACTCATAAACTTAAGTTTTAAAGTCAATCCTTACTAAAAATCTATAATGGCCACAACCACAATATCATTGTGGAAGGACATGCATAAGTATGAGAGAGTTTCTATTTTCAATGAGCTTTATTATAAAGCAGACTGGGAAACAAAATGAGCATGCAATGGTGAGGAAGAGTGGATATGGCAGGAAGTTACATTGTTCTGTCAGCATAGCCAAACATCTTTCTTTGTATCGATAATGATATAACATCATTTCCTATGTGAAACTAAGAGGTTTTTTCAACTCAGAAAACTAATTAAAAGAAAAAAAAAGAAAACAATACATGACTGCTAGCTTTGGCAGCACATATACTAAAATTGGAAGGATAGAGAAAAAATTAGCATGGCCCCTGTGCAAGGATGACACACAAATTCATGAAGCATTCCATATTTTTACAATTTGTATGGCAACACAAAAGACCCCGAGGAGCCAAAACAATCTTGTGAAAGAAAAACGGAGCTGGAGGAATCAGGCTCCCTGACTTCAGACTATACTACAAAGGTACAGTAATCAAGACAGTATGGTACTGGCACAAAAACAGAAATATAGATCAATGGAACAAGATAGAAAGCCCAGAGATAAACCCACACACCTATGGTCAACTCATCTATGACAAAGAAGGCAAGAATATACAATGGAGAAAAGACAGTCTCTTCAATAAGTGGCACTGGGAAAACTGGACAGCTACTTGTAAAAGAATGAAATTAGAACACTCCCTAACACCATACACAAAAATAAACTCAAAATGGATTAAAGACCTAAATATAAGACCAGACACTATAAAACTCTTAGAGGAAAACATAGGAAAAACAATCTTTAACATAAATCACAGCAAGATCTTCTTTGGCTCACCTCCTAGAGTACTGAAAATAAAAACAGAAATAAACAAATGGGACCTAATGAAACTTAAAAGCTTTTGCACAGCAAAGAAAACCATAAACGAGACAAAAAGACACCCCTCAGAATGGGAGAAAATGTTTTGCAAATGAAGCAACCGACAAGGGATTAGTCTCCATAATATACAAACAGCTCATGCACTCAATATCAAAAAAACAAACAACCCAATCAAAAAATGGGCAGAGGGCTTCCCTGGTGGCGCAGTGGTTGAGAGTCCGCCTGCCGATGCAGGGGACGCGGGTTTGTGCCCCGCTCCGGGGGGGATCCCGCATGCCGTGGGGCGGCTGGGCCCGTGAGCCATGGCCGCTGGGCCTGCGCGTCTGGAGCCTGTGCTCCGCAGAGGGAGAGGCCACAGCAGTGAGAGGTCCGCGTAACGCAAAAAAAAAAGGGCAGAAAACCTAAATAGACATTTCTCCAAAGAAGACATACAGGTGGCCAAGAGGCACAAGAAAAGATGCTCAACATCACTAATTATTAGAGAAATGCAGATCAAAACTGGTCAGAATGGCCATCATCAAAAACTCTACAAACAATAAATACTGGACAGGGTGTGGAGAAAAGGGAACTCTCTTGCACTGTTTGGTGGGAATGTAAACTGATACAGCACTATGGAGAACAGTATGGAGGTTCCTTAGAAAACTAAAAATAGAACTACCATATGACCTAGCAATCCCACTACTGGGCATATACCCAGAGAAAACCATAATTCAAAAAGACACATGCACCCCAATGTTCACTGCAGCACTATTTACAACAGTCAGACATGGAAGCAACCTAAATGCCCATCGACAGACGAATGGATAAAGAAGATGCAGCACATATATACAATGGAATATTACTCAGCCATAAAAAGGAACAAAACTGGATCATTTGTAGAGGTGTGGATGGACCTAGAGTCTGTCATACAGAATGAAGTAAGTCAGAAAGAGAAAAACAAATACTGTATATTAACACATATATGTGGAATCTAGAAAAATGGTACAGATGAACCTATTTGCAGGTCAGGAATAGAGATGCAGACATAGAGAACAAACGTGTGGACACGGTGGGTGAGTGGTAAGGGAGGGTGGGATGAACTGGGAGATCGGGACTGACATATACATACACATTACCATGTGTAAAACAGACAGCTAATGGGAACCGCTGTATAGCGCAGAGAGCTCAGCTCGGTGCTCTGTGGTGACCTAGATGGGCGTGATTGGGGGCGGGGGGAGGGAGGTCCAAGAGGGAGGGGATATATATATACATATAGCTGACTCACTTCATTGTACAGCAGAAACTAACACAACATTGTAAAGCAACTATTCCCCAATAAAAAAAATAAAAATGAAAACAAAAACCCCCACAATACATGATTTAGAACAAACACTGAATATAATCATCTTTGATAAAACATAAATTCCTACACATTTTAATTTTGATTTATGTAAACTAAAAATCTTAATGGACATTTATTTTAGATTTATACCAGTCACTAATAATTGGAGCCAAAAATAGCCTAAAGAAATCAAATGTGCCCTAATAGCTCCTGAATTTATACTAATGAAAACTAGAATGTGCAACCAAGAAAAATGCCTCTAACAGTTTAAAATTAATTTATTTTATCAGAAAAACTACAACTAAGAATCAAGGGGGGAAATGGAAAGAGAAGGCACTCTGGCCTGGGCAACCGGGTAGATGGTGGTGCCATTCACTGCAATAGGAAACACTGGAGAAGGTTCAGGTGGAGGTAAAGAAGGACAGTTAATTCAAGGTTGCTGGTCAGAGTCTGAACAGCTTGTGAGACAAAACAGTAAAAAAGCTGGATCTACACAGATGGAGTGCATCCAAAGTAGTAGGTTAGATCATTCAAGGACTATGAGTAGAATGAGAAGAGAAAGTAGCCTATGAGGAATGCAGACATTTAAGGAACAGGCAGAAGAGGATGAACCTGTGAAGGAAAGGCGTACCCAGAAAAATGTCCTACATTGAAGAAAGGAAAAGTGGTCAACATCAAATACTGCAGAAAATTCAAGAAGGAAACTAAGAAAATGGGCAAGAAGTGAAAAAGTGTTTAATAACAAGTACAGATATGTCTGGCTTGAGAGGGAGACAGAAACATGACACTACAGGCTAAAGGGGACCAAAAAAGAGAGTCTGGGGGAAGAAGTGTTTTGTTCTATGTTTGAAGACAGGGAAGACTTGAACATGTGTAAATGTTCATGAGAAAGATCCACTATAGAGGGAGAGACTGAAAACACAAGAATAAAGTCCCTAAGAAGTCAGGAGGAGATGATGAGCCATAGCACTTACAGGCTTAACTGCTGGAGCACAGCCACCTCCTCTATTACATGAGGGAAGAAAAGATACAGACACATTCATTCATTCAATAAGTGATTAGCTACTATGTGCCATGAACTGTGATAGACCCCAGAGACAGAGAGAATTTGATGCCTAGAAATTAAGGGGAAATGGTTTCTATTTCCTCAGTGAAAGGATGAAGAATTAGATATGTATAAAATTCATCCAAACACACAACATAAATGAGTACTGACCTCTGTTCCTTTATAATCAGGTGTCCACCTGCATCATTATGACAAGACATTTAAACATGTGCACAAATACCGCATAGTATTAGCTTTTTTACAAGTTAAATAAAAGACAGCATATGGATAGCACATATCCAGAGTTAGATAAATTTTAAGTCCATAAAACGAGGAATTTTGTCAGATGTTTTTAAATCTACTCATCTTACATTATTTGTGACAAGACAACAAGGAAAAAGGACGACAGAATAATATTAAGAGCAGATAAAGGAGTCTAGAGAGAGAGAAGATTTAAAGAAATCGTAGAGAACAAATAAAGTAACTGATGAGAGAGGGCAAGAATGAAATACTACCTGACTGAGGGGATAACAATATTACAGGTCATTCCTACTCCTATTGCTAATTCTCTTACTGGAACCTACAAAATATCTTTAAAGAGTGTGTCATGGCCATGTATACTTATAACTTAGTTCTCTTTCCTACTGAATTCCAATAAAACAAAGGCACATAGAACATAACATGTCCAAACTGAACACATCTTGTCCACTCACCAAACCTTCTCCTGCTTCCCCCTTTATTGATAATTGCAAGCCACCTAATGGCTCAAACCATCAATTTCAGGTGAGTCCTGTCAGTCCATTCCCAGCCTCTCATGTCTCGCTTCTGCCAATCCAACTTCTACAGAGCTTCCAGAATCTTCTTCCTAAATACAAAATCTAATGGCATCACTTTCCTGATTCATTACCTGCACTAATTCTCTATTTTCTACAGTATTAAGTACTAACTTGTTAACTTGGTACTCAAGAACCTTCTCAATCTGGCCGCAACTGCTCTTCCAACTTCAGTATTAAAATACTGAAATTCTCATTACTGTCAGAACCCATGTCCTTTCTTAATGTCACACCCATAAGTATATGCCTGTCTTGCCTGGACTGTTTTCTAGCTCTTTTCCTTTTTCATGTAAAACTAACATCTACTTATCCTTCAATATTAGTTCAAATGTCATCTCCCTTATACATGCTTATGGTAGAATTAGTTCTACTTACTGGCTCATACATCCCTTTAGATAATAAATGCTTCACTCAAAAGTGCTCAGAAAATACAATCTGACTAAATGAACAAACCCTTCCTTAAGGAGGAACTTCCAGTCTAGGTAATAATCTACCTGGAAAACTCTGCCCTCTACTTCTCTGTGCTCCTTCTATCTGCAAATAATACATATAGAGACGATTTTAAAAATTTAATTTTATCTCAAATGGATACTTAATTTTCTAGCATGACTTACTGAAAACAAAAAAAGAGTCAGTTCATATGGACAGGACCACAAAGTGTTCATTAAAGACAATAAATTATTTGCCCAAGAAGTGTTATACCCAATTTTTAATCATTTTTCTTGCTCATACACATCTGGGGTATTTTAGAATCTTAATCATAAATTTCACCCATCTAGTAAATCTTAAATAATTCCTCTTTGCCAACCTGCATTATCAACTTAATACAGACACCTTTAAAAACAGGTCTTCAGGGCTTCCCTGGTGGCGCAGTGGTTGAGAGTCCGCTGCCGATGCAGGGGACACGGGTTCGTGCCCGTTCCGGGAAGATCCCACATGCCGCAGAGCGGCTGGGCCCATGAGCCATGGCTGCTGAGCCTGCACGTCCAGAGCCTGTGCTCCGCAACGGGAGAGGCCACAGTAGGGAGAGGCCCGCGTACCGCAAAAAAAACCCAAAAAAACAGGTCTTCAGTACTAGGCAGTCAAGTTCGTATCTCCCTCTATATCTTAGTGTAGATAATAGCAAAATATTTTTTACCATGCTGCATTAGTGTCCTGCATGGTATCTAGTTATTCTCAGAAATCTACTGTTTATAAAGCTCAGGAGAAGGGGAAGTGATACCCACCAAAATGGCCCACAGAAGTATGAAAAGGTACTCAATATTATTAGATATCAGGAAAATTAAAATTAAAATCATAGT